TTGCACGCGTGGCCTCAGAACCCGGCCGGCGGCTGTCCTTGCGTCCTCGCGTGTCGGCCCTTCGAAGGTCGCGCTCTTGGTCCGTTCTTTATGCACCCACTGGTATGTGGGCTTCATTTGTTCTCTTGGCATAAGGACAGTCCGAGTGACGACTCGCGTGCTGAGCCGTCCTAACAGGTCCTTACGATTCATCATACCGGAAACACAATGAACACCCAACCTTAAACTCGTGTATTTCGGAATTTCAAATATCAGCTTCTCGTCTATTTGTATGTAATCACTTATCGGTAATGCCCTAAATTAACGTGGTACTTTCTAGTTAAAAGGCGGACCCAGTAGCGCCCAGGCTGCTAAAGAGTACAGTGAGACTATATAAAACCAAAAGGGAGATGTCCCTGTTTGAGGTGGTGTTTAGACGTTCATTTCCACCACCTTCAGCGATTAAAAAATCTTGAAAATAACTTCCCAATTGAAGACGAATTTTCTGTTCAGCCTTCCCCACCTGTTTTTCTATAATTCGTTTACTTGGTCCTGAAGTTGGGTCATGACTATCTGGTTCTGGAATCTACTTTATTCCAGAGTCAATACTGAACTCCTCAAACGTGTTTTCCTGCAAGTACACAGTGTAACACATGCGTAAACTGTACTACCACTCCCAAAATATTGGTTGCCTTATACGGCCCAGCTATCGTGATCCAGCCGCCTGATTCATTCTTAGGGTAGGGATCACTACATGCGCAGGACTATAGTCGCGTCTTTGATAGACCACTGTGTGAAACCATGCCTCAGTCCAGACTAGTCAGTATAAGATTTGAAAGTGGGAAGACTGAGACCGATTTTGCAGGACTTTTGTCGTAATAATCCGTTTTAAGCATTAGTAACCACCAGAACTTGGTGATTCTCATCCGATGTGACAGGCAAACCGACCAGTAACTAATTTCACGGAAGTCTAAATGCCATCAGGCATAGAGCGCCTAAATTGGCTGAGAAGTAGGCGTCGCCTAGAGTGCACAGATGTGATTTCAGACACCTCCAATTCTAAGGTGTATCGATCAGGCTTTATACTTAAATCGATGGGGATAGGTAGGGGCAAGACGGGCGACGCAGACTGAACCGATTCCCATTGTTACCCACGTCCAGTGGTGGATCCGAATGCAACGCTGACCTGCTTTTCAGCCAGCGCAAGATAAAGAGAATAAAGCAGATCGAATTCAGAGGGTAATTTGATTAAGGAAAAACAAAAAGAAGAATAAAGCATACAGATGAGCAAGATACACAATAAGTTAACAAACATGGAACGCACAGATGACGTCATAATTATCACGTGACATCCGACTGGACGGCAACGTCTTCACAGTTTATACGGAAAAAAGACTGGCAGGCACGGGATAGATTGTCGGGTGGGGCAGAAATTGCCTAACATGGACTAATGAAAGGAAAAACAACACTGGGGCGGTCAGAAATTTACAAGATTAGATCCTCGAGCTAATTAAGTGGACATAATCGATTGTCATTAATCAAATTCAGCTAAAGAGTTCGTTTTTTATCACAGTAAGAAAGCAAACTACCGGATTTTTGGAATGGGAGGGTTTAAAAGGCATAAAAGAAAAATCTAATTAAAACATGGGTTTTCAGGACACCGAAGAAACAGGATTCGGGGACGGGCCCATCTGACGTAGCACCCGGTCCAGCCAAAAGAGCGGTCCCCTTAGGTGAACCTCAATCCAACATGGTGTTGAAGTGACGTCCTGCCGATGGTATTCAGCACCCCAGCCTTTGACGAAGCTCAGACGGATGGTACACATCTTGACGATGTCGTAGACAGCTTCCACGCCCCGCGGAACCGTGAGGTGTAGGATGCGCGCAAACTCTCGGTTACTGAACACTCTGAGAGAGCAGGCTGGTGGAATCTTTACAACTGTGGTCGGGTGGAAGCCGTGGGTCTCACTACACAGCCTCGACTGCACAAAGACACTACTGTCCGACAGACATTCGATGTACGTATCTCCGGCGACAGTGTACAGGTGAATACCTTGCAAGAAGGAAATAAAATGAAGACTGAAAAGGTTCTTGGCTTGGGTGGGGGGTTATAGACATAGAATATTTATGCAATATAGTATGCAGTGCGCCTCATTAAATGTTAACCGAAATTCGGAAATGCGTTTTGTATTAGAAAGCATTCCTTAGGTGGGATTGTAACAATGAATATCGTGCGACATAATCTCACAATATTTTATTCATGCAAGGATGCCTGATTTTTAATGCGTTTCATGCGAGAACCAAATTTTGGTAAAAATGACGGCCTTTGAAGCATCAATTGTTTCGATTGATTTTATATTCCCCTATAAATGCAAATATATCTTAGAAAAAAATGAAACAAAGCATTCGTTTTCTGTCCATCCGGTAGTAAACTACGTCGGCTTCCCATTTTATCCTTATGGACAGGATACTTTCGGTTATAAGGTACCTTAAGACGGTGAATTCTTCAGCCGACTGACACCGTACCTATCCATTTACTAATGCTTCTCATAGGATTAACAGCTGGTTCGCATTCATGGTAAAATTCTGCGTATTTTATAGTATCTGCTGACTTGAGAAGAAGACGACTCGATCGCTGGGACAATACGTTTAGTCGCCTGACGTTTCATCATCAGAGACATTAGCAGAACCCGTTTCTGCTAACGTCTCTGATGATGAATTCACGACGGATGTCGAAACTTCAGACAAATAAACGTATTGTCCCAGCGATCGGGTCTTCGTCTTCTCAACTACTTCCTGGGACTCGCATGTTCGCTTGTATCTGCTTACTACCAGACTAATTTGCCATTTTCCTTGCATGGAAAATGCACAGCTTCTAGATGAGAAATCCTAAACGTTATCGCGACAGCAGGTAAGTTCAAAATTATTGGGAGTTGAAAAGTTTTCAAAAACCAAAAGTTGTCGCTTCTTTGAGAATCAAATGTGAAGACGTCATTTACTACCAAAGGACTACAAGAAAGAATATTTTGTACATGCTTTCTATAAAATATATTTGAACTTATAATGGTATCGAAACTCGAGGAGAAAAATGTACACTCCATAACTAGTAATTTTCACCGACTATGCTCTTTGCATGTGGCTGAAAATAATAGCAATCAAAAGCCATGGCTGAAATATTTCGAGATTATGCACCACGACAATTATTTTTACAAGCCACCTAAGTACTTCACCTTAATCAAGAACACACTTGAGAATTTGGTTAACATGGCATAAAGCGTGCCACCTGATGATGATTGTTCGACCATCGATTTCGATGAAGTTGACCGTGTGTTGTAGAGCAGGGAGAGTGACTAGAGTCAGAGAGATTTAAGTGAAATGGATGCGCAGCCGTCTACCTCACTCTAAACCCTCAATCCGTTTAAACCGGTGACAAGACGCAGTCAAGAAGGCAGAGCAGGATCAGGCGTGGGCCGCTTTCTCCAATGCAGGTCAGAACACCGCCTAACTTAGCGTTTAGTGACAGTAGATTTTTGCGCTGGTACTACCGCGTTACCTACTCTTACTTACCTTTATTAGGTGTCAAGACAGTGTCAAGGTTACCGAGAATGACGCTGCTACTGCTATTTCTACTACTACTACTACTACTACTA